AGCAAAGCTGCTTATGAAGAATATATGAATAGTATTGAATTAGTTCCAAAAGCAGCTTATAGTTATGGAAGGAGAATTGCAGGAGATATAAATAGTTCAAAAAACAAAAAGAAACAAAAACTCAATCCTGAACAGGAGTGGAGAGCCATTGAAAAACTCATCGCCGAAAAAAAACAACTCTAAACCCTAAGCCCTAAACCCTCGATTCCGGGACCCCGCAGTGCTGCACAGCACTCCAAAACGCCCAAACCCCAAACCCTCAACGGTTTAGGGTTTACGCCTTGCTTCCCGGGTTTCGTCAGTGCAGCACTAGCAAACCCTAAACCCCAAACCCTAACCCCTGAAGGGTTTAGGGTTTAGGGTTTAAGGGTTTAGGGTTTACGCCTTGCTTCCGTGCAGCAAAGGCCCCCCCGAGGACTAAACCCCAAACCCTAAACCCTTGCTTCCAGGCGCGCAGCAAAAGCCTCCCCAGCAGCCCCGCGGGGCCTAAACCCTAAACCCTAAACCGCCGTTTTGTCTTTTGTTTGGGGTGGGCGGTGTCAAACTGAAGGTCTTTTCTTTTTCGCTTTTAAGAATTAAAAAAAAAGAAATGAATAAACACAGAAAGGCAAATCAAGATTAGAGAGACAAAAAGAAACGAAGTCTCGCTAGCCAGGTCGTGCAGCAAACAGCTAGCTAGCCAGCCAGCTAGCTAGCTAGCCAGCCAGCTAGCTAGCTAGCTCGCTATCTAGATAGGTGTAGACAGACCGGCTGGGTGGGTAGCTAGCTGGCTAGCTAGATAGCTGTAGGGAGTTCGGCTGGGTGGCTAGCTAGCTAGCTAGCTAGCTGAACACAGCTAGCTAGCTTGCCCCACTAGCGGGCTGGCTAGCTAGCTAGCTAGTGGGGGAAATGTTGACGAACAGATGGGCTGAAGAGCTGCTAGGCAGCTAGGAATCTGGCTTGCTAGTTGGCTAGCTGACTGGCTAGCTAGTTAGTTAGCCGAGTGGCAAGCTAGTTGGCTAGCTGGCTAGCTGGACAGCTAGCTACCTACTTGGTCAACTCACGGATTAAGCGACTCGCTCGCCAGGTACATGGTAAATAAAAAGGCAGCAGCTAGCTAGCTAGCTAGCTAGCTAGCTAGCTCGCCAGCTAGCCAGGGCGCATAGCTCTACGCTCCGCTAGCTAGCTAGCTACCGCTAGCCAGCTAGTTACCGGTAGCTAGCTACCGCTAGCTAGCTAGCTAGGTAGCTAGCTAGGTAGCTAGCTAGGTAGCTAGCTAGGTAGCTAGCTAGCTGGCTAGCTAGCTAGCTAGCTGCAGTGGACAAAAACGAACTGCTGGGCCTGTTGGCCTTTTTGGTTGCAGCCCCGTGGGGGTTTGGGGGCCCCTCCGGGGGGCCCCCAGAGCTGTACCCTCTACGGGTACAGTTCTGTGGCCATAGAAAAGGGGCCCCCATAAAGTGCTGCTGTGGGGGAGGAGGGTGCATGCACGGGTCCCAGCAGCAGCGAGGGCACGAGTGCGCTGCTGCTGCTGCGGCTGCTGCTGCTGCTGCTGCGGGC